CTGGTGGGCTGAGCTGGCCACACACACAAAATACATAAATAAATAAATAAAAATTTAAAAAAAAAAAAAAGAAAGTAAATAAAGGGAAGATGGCAAAAAACTAAAAAGTAGAGATTTGCAGATGTTAAAGGTAACCAGGAGAGGTGGGATAAAGAGGCAGAGTAAAGAACTGTCACATGTATGTACTAGTTTCCTCAAATGAACCTCACTATTCTGTGTGGACATAACACAAAAACATGTACAAGATTTCAGAATTAAAGCAGAAGTTTTAATGTTGACACACACTGATAATCTCAGTGCTCTGGGAGGCTGAGGTGAGATGGTCTAGTGTTAAAGCCAGCTGTGTGGGGAATCTGCAGTCCCCTTGCCTGGAAAACCTCCGAGTTCTAGAATGGAGCCAAGCACTGCCCAGTACTGACCCTTCCTGCCTGGGGGCTGGGCACTGGCCCAGGGACTCTCGCCAGGCACCATGGCCTGCCTGGTCTTCTCTGCTGCATTGCATCCTGCCTCTGGACTAGTTTCATAACTGGAAGCTTCTTTATTCACCTATGGAAGGGAAAACACCATCCCTCCCTCGCAGTATTGTTGAGGACCAAAGGTGCAACTAAACCAGTTCACAGAGCAGGCATTCATTAGATGTGTGAGCACAACCTATTTCCTCTCTTTTATACCTCCTCCGGTGCACTGAAGAGCGCGCCCCAAAAGGTAGGTCTCCCAGCCCCTCACAACGTGCTCTTGGGTGCGTGGCTCATTGATCACTGTTTTTTTTTTCCATAATTTTATTGAGAGACAAATAGTAATGAGACAGTTTCAAATCAAATTGGTATGACAGTTTCAATAATTAACACATTGCATACTCTCTTCCTAGTGGTTATTTGATCACTGTTTTGTACAATCATCTTCCAAACATCCGGACACCTCCCCCAGATCCAGTGGCTACTCTTGGATGTTAGGTTTTTCTGTGGTGCAGTAAAGAGATAGGGAAGATAAAAGAGGCCTTTATTGGCTCTAAATGACATGGAAAATCCCAGGGAACATGGTGAGGGGGGAGATCCCTGACCTCTGACAAAGAAAGCTGAGATTTTTATGGACTCTTGCTAGGGGTGGAGTTTGAGGGGCAGTTTGAATTACATGTAAGGAGCTGAAATTGGGAGTCTCTCCTGTGTGAGTGGAAAGAGAGGAAATTGTGTCCAGGGCTGGAGTAAGAGATGAGGAAGTGGTCACTGGGAAGATAAGCTGTTGTTTTAAGGGCTTCAGCCATATTAGATGACCACCATAATAACTTAGCAGCTTATACTAGGGCCAGACCTGGATGCTAATGGCTTCTCCATCAGGGCAAGGTGGGGTGGCTGGATGCCCTCCTTTGTCAGCTGCATGTCATAAACAAGTCCTTCTTGATCTCTAGTTATCTATCAGACATTGGATTCTCTTTTTTAAAATGTATTTGGTATAGGGTCTCACTATACAGCTCAGACTTGTAGTAATCCTCCTGTCTTCAGTCTCCCCAGTGCTGGGATTACAGGAACGCACCACACCCAGTCTTGGTGGCTGGCTCAGCATGCCTGGGGGCAGAAGGTGTAGCCTGTGGAGCCGGGATTGAACCCCAGTCCCTGTGCTTTCCTAAGCGGGCACTTAGTCCACTGACCTATCTCGCTGGCCCCAGGTTATTTCTTCTATGTGTGCATTCACAATATTTCAAGTTAACAGCAACATTTCAGTAGTTTCTAAACTATTACATGCTATTGTCTAACACGGCTAGGAATGGTGGTGCACATCTGTAATCCCAGCACTCACAATTTTGAGGCAGGAGCATCCACACAATTTGAGGCCACCCTGGGCTACATAGGGATCCCTGTCTCCATTTAAAAAAAAAAAAGTAAAACAGGTTAGAAAATTTCTAATAGTATAAATGAAGTACACAGTGATACTCAAACTAATACTCATAATTAAGAAAATAAAGTTGGTAATCTGTGGTGCCACGCTACATCTGGCTCACCATCTTTTCAAAACTAAATCTTCATGGGAACATAGCTACACACATCCTTTCTGACCCAGCACAATCTGCAGCCAATTTTGTCCTGACACCAAGTTGAGTTTGGCCTTCAGAGCAGAACAGTTTGGTACGGGCTGGGCAGAAGCTGCCTGCGTAACCAGAGCCTAACAAAGCTCTGGGCACTGAGTCTGACTTGGCAGTGTGTCCCACATGGTCACAACCTCTTTCTGGGAACACTGTACCTGGCTCCCGAGGGTGCCTGTGCCTGGCCTTTGGGGCTTTGCTCCCATACCTGTTCACTTTATAGATTTTGCTTTGTGTCCCTCCCTGCCACAGCCCACCCAGAAGCCAGGAACTTTGTGCCTACGTCTTGACAAACTCCCTCCATCGTCACTGGGCCTCCACTCTACTCGGGCAGGTGTTCTCCTTCACTACCTGCTTTTGACACTGTCACAGATGGCCCAGTGTAACACATCAGAAAACACACAGGGGCAGACTAAGCAGTGACAAGAGCTGCGTGAAGAAATAAGTCTCTGTTCTTGGGATCTGCAGAATGGAAGAGCATCTCAGGGTGGCAACCATCAGCCTCAGATCACCCACATCCCAAATCAGCCCCCTGGCAAGACAGAATTTAAACAAGTGTTCCCCGTCTTCTTGGGCAGCTGATTTTTTTTTTTTTAATTGTTGAATGAAGATGCTTTCCTTGCCTCAACACCTGGTCTGTTAGCCAGGAATGGTGATGCGAGGATTTCACTTTAGAACTCAATCTAGGCAATTTATTGACTTAAGGATCTCGAGACCTTACTTAAAAATAAAGAGGCTGTGATTGTTCAAAAAGAAGGGGGTGGTGAATGAAGGCAGGAGACAGGAAAAGGAATGTTGTGGGACTGTCCTGCTACAAGGTTGTATATGGTTAGATTTCTGGACTTATGTGTAAACATAATAATTATATAATTCTTTATGCCTATTTAAAAAATATATTCTAATTTTCCCCATAATTTTATTGATAAACAAATAGCAATGAGATAGTTTCAAATCAAATTGCTAGGACAGCTTCAATAATTAATATATTCTAATTTTTAAATGTTTTTTCATCATATTCTGTAGGGACTAAAAGTCCAATATATCAATAGTTGATGAAAAATACCTGTTCCATGTTATGCCTAAGATGTTCGATAGTCACACAGATAGTGAGGTTAAGCTTAACAGCCTAGGTTGTATGGTAATAACAAGCTTCTCTTCTGGAGGGTTAACAACCTAAGTTTGCAGACCAAAATTAGAGAAAAAGGAGGGTCGCAAGGAAAGCCAACATTTTGGACCTAGCCCTCCAAGGTCAATTAAGGTTCAGGACATATGAGAACTTGTAGTGTAATGTCATGTAACTTGGTAGTGTCCCAAATTTTCTGATCAAGGAGATTATGGGGTCAAAGAGGAAAGTGATGGATGATGTAGAGTATGCCTAAGGAGAGTCACATGGAGAGAAAACATTCTCTCAGGCTCTCACAGAGAGCACATTGG